ATAATTATATTCCTAATATTCGACTAATTACAAGGTTGCAAAGTAAAAAAAAAATGGCTTTGAGCCTCTTTGAACCTCTTTAAATTTTTGTTGTGTTTTAGGCTGTAATTCTTAAAATCATTTATGTTGCCTTTTGCTGGTGTTTCTTTCTTTTGAGAGCCTCCTTCATTTGCCTAATAGCCCAGCTCCTACCCTTACATAAGGCCAATTTTGTGCTGTGAGCCTTTTTCTTTCTTTCTTTCATAGAGCTGTTAAACTCTGCAGACCTGATTCTCACGCAGAGCAGCCCAGCGGTCCTAAAAAGGAAGACAATAAGAAGTGGAAGTCTCTGTTGGTCATAAAAGATATACTGAAGGGAAAGTTCATATGTGGGTTCCGCAGTACTTTGCAGTAATGGGTTGCATACATAAGCAACTCCTGGGTGTGTGAGCATTCCCCCAGCTGAAACAATCCTACTCAGGCAGGTAATTATGCTGCCATCACCTATTTTTAAATGTGAAGTTGCTCTTTGCAGTTGAAACTTAAATGGGGCAAGAAGAAGGAATCTTTCTTCTCTAGATATAAGCTTTTTTTTTTTTTAAGGGTGGGTTTCCATTTTTCCTTTCTAACCAAGTTTACTAAGCCCAAACAATTCTGAAACGCCTACTGCTGGTTATAAACCAAATATTAGAATAATCAAGATGGAGATTTAGTGGGAAGGGCAGAAACCACTGGAGTGTCTGAGAAATGGACTGCAAATGTCTCCAGCAAATTATTTCATTAAAGGTCTTCTCAAATCTTAAAAGATTACCTCAGAGTTGTCAAAGGTTTCATTAAAAAAATATAGGCTGAATTGAGGAGAGAACCCAAAGATTATTGATGTGCTGAAAAATAATTCCAGGCATATAGTTTCCCCTCGCACATATGTGCTAGTCNTCCACCGATTAATTGTTCTCACTGTCAGGAAATTTCTCCTCAGTTCTAAGTTGCTTCTCTCCTTCGTTAGTTTCCATCCATTTGCTTCTTGTCCTGTCTTCAGGTGCTTTGGAAAGGACCTTGAGGGTCTTGTAGTCCAACCCCTTGGTCAGGCAGGAAACCCTATACCATTCCAGACAAATGGCTCTCCATCATCTTCTTAAAAACCTCCAGTGTTGGAGCATTTACAATTTCTGGAGGCAAGTTGTTCCACTGATCAGTTGTTCTCACTGCTAGGAAATCTCTGCTTAGTTCTAGACTGCTTCTCTCCTTGATCATTTTCCACCCATGGCTTCTTGTCTACCTGATAGACAACTCTAGACAACAGACAAACCAGTAACTCTAGAATCCATGTATCCCTCCAACAAAACACCTCGGTGACCATGGCTGGAGGTCTTGCATTGATCCTTTCACTGTCCCAAACTGAACTGCTTCTGTTGGGGTGTTAGAAGGTCATTTCCCACAGGCGTAGAGCAAACATTAACAATGTGCGTTACAGGTGAAAAGCTCCCGCTAAGCGGTTGAGCATATTACAAAAGCATCATCCCACAGGCCACCCAGCCTGCACGTCCTCTAAGCATTTCAACAGCCAGCCACAGGTCTTAATTTCCTCTCCAGAAGCTGGGAAGGAAGGGTGTGTGTGGAGGGGGGGAGTGCAGCCCACTTCAGGGCAGAGTGATGGCCAAAACCTGCCCCTATTATACTCTGGGTTTCCTATTGCTGCATAAATCTTTCCTCTGCAGCTGTTAAGGGGATCACGGTGTAGAGTTATTGTCACCTCCTGACAGTTCCCAAAAATGTCTCCGAGAATAGAAAGGTGAGATGAATGGTTACAGAGGAAACCCACTTCAGCGGAAAGCATAGGAGAAATTATCTGCTTAATCGACCCAGGCATTTATTGACATTAATTAGAGAGTAATTATTAAGTTCAATTTAAGCCAACTGGTGTATGTCAAGAGTTTCTTCAGACAAGGAGGGCCATCTGTTAAACACTTACTCAAAGGACCAGCATTTAAACAGCTCAAGGCTCTTTGGGATACTTAAGAAATAATGTCTGTCTTCAAGACATTCTTAAAGTAGATCCTCTCCGGTCATTTCCCTGGTGGAAAGGCCATTCCTACATCTGGCTTTTAACAGTGCATTTTCTGCGTGTTTATTTTGGGCTGAATGGAGAGGGTTCCCACCAGAAAGGAAGATAGTCTTGAATTTAGGATGACTTTTTCCTTCAAAGGAAGCTTCAATAGAATATATATACATATATCTCCTACTTGAGATTTTGAGATCTTGGGGGTTCCTGATGCTCTCTGAGTTTGATTGTTTTCTTACAGATGTTTAGGTAACATTTTACCTAGTTTGGGTAATAAAACATCTCCAAGAAAACACCCAAGCTCAGAAAGTACTAAGGGCCCCATAGTCCTTTTCCTCCTCCATCTCCTCCTCCTCCTTCCTCCTTCTTCCTTCCTCCTCTTCTCCTCCTCTTCCACCCCACAAACCACCTTCCCTTCTAACACAAATTCTGTTACCTAGTTAGGTAATGAAACATCTGCAAGAAAACAAGCAAGCTCAGAGAGCACTAAGGACCCTTCATTTCAATCCTGAGCTACAAATATACTCCTTTATGGTACTATATTCTTATCAAATCTTTAAAAAAAACCATCCCGTTTTAAAGGAGAAGGAAAGAATCATCTTCTATCTTAATCTTGAAATAAAGACACTACAGTCAGTGGAGCTTATTTCCAATTTAAATGTGTTTATCTGCCTTCCTCAATTTGAGCCAATCTGAACTATTGTTCAGTGGTAAAGTTATTGTTGTTAATTGTGAAGTTGTGTCTGACCCATCGTGACCCCATGGACAACGTTCCTCCAGGCCTTCNGAAACACAGCAAAGGATCTGCTAGTCAATTTTGCAGACGAATTCTTATCTTCTCCTGTACTCTATCTCAATAGAGATTTTACAAAATATAGGTATCAGTAATAAATATTTTTCCACATTTTCAATTTGACTCATTCTAGCATTAATATCATGCAGTACTTACTACCTGGTGTGATTGTATGAGATGACATTGCTAAAGTTATGGAAAACGAGTCCATCAAAGAAAGTTAATCGTAATGGTTTAAATAAAAGTCCCATGTCTAGATAAAAAGGCAGGTGTGTTGTGAGTGCAACTCCTGTCAAATTCATGGGCATCATTGTGGTGTTTTCTTTGCAGCACCATTTTCTTTTCCTGTCTTGTCTTTTTGCAAACTAGCCCTCAGGCCTGAGATTTTCTTTTTCTTTAAAGTGTTTTATTTTTATTCTTCATATATACATTCACAAATATATACATTCTCATATATACATTATTAAGATTGTGTGTTATCTTTTAATATTTATAACAATTTATTTCTCCATCTAAAGATTTACATATATAATCGGGATTGCTTTACCTGCCATCCCATCCATCCATCTTGTTTTACCACAATCCTGTTTTTCCTTCCTTTTCTCCTTCCCTCCCTTCTTCTCTACTTTCTTCTTTCCTCCTCTCCCTTTTCCCTTTTCTTCTTCCCCTTCCTGTCCTCTCTCCTACTCTTACTTCCCCTCCATGTCTTCCTCTCCTTTCCCCTTTCTTCTTTCCCTCTCCTCTCCTCTCTTCCTCCTACCTCGGGCCTGAGATTTTCTGATGGTTTCTCACCCAACCATTAACTGTCCAACCTTGTTTAGCTGTTGACAAGATTTGCAAGATCCTGATCCAGATTATAATTGTAAATGTGAGCCGTGGCTTAGTGATAAAGAACATAGAATCATAGAATCGTAGGGCTGGAAGAGACCTCAGAGCAGTGGTGGGTTCCGGGGCCCAGCGTACTTACTTCTTGTGACGCCTCCGTGAGCTTCTGTGACTCTCCAGCTGCTCGGCGGAAATATCATGCAGGCGCCATGTGCTCTGTGCATGTGCATGGAAGCGCCAAAGAGCTCAAATGCAGGTAAGGAGTTTGGACGGGCGGGTGGGCCCTCTGGAGCATCGTACCGGAACGGTACCCAGTGCTCCGGGCAGGCACCAGTATGCCCATACCGGGGCGAACTGCCTGCAACCCACCACTGCCTCAGAGGTCTTCTAGTCCAACCCTCTGCCCAAGGCAGAAGACCTTTATAGCATCCCTGTCAAATGGTTGTCAGGTCTATTTTTGAAAACCTCCAGTGATAGAGGCCCCACAATTCTTAGAGAGAAGGTAATTCCGCTGATTGATTGTTCTCACGGTCAGAATTCTTTTTCATGATTTAGCAACGTCATCTCATTCAGTTGCACCAGATAGCACTGAAGGGCTCATATAATTCAAACTGGTAATGTGAAAAAATAGAGTATTTATTACCTATATATATAATTTGTAAAAGGCCTATTGAACAGCCCAACCTAAGATAACAATTTTTCTACATACTTTCATGCCGTGTGAATCAAACTATTGTGTTTATTCGTGGCTTAGTATTCACTTTGCACTAGGCCAGTGATAGCGAAACTTTTCAGCACCGATTGTCCAAACCAGAACATGGATGCACACATGCCGAAGCCCTGTAAACTCAAAGACCAGCTGGCTGGTGCACAGGAGCATGTTGTCCACTAGTCTTCACATGTACCGGAGCACCAGAAACCCAAAGACCAGGTGGCCATCACACACATGCGCACCGGCCAGCTGTTCTTCAGGTTTCTGGCACTCCAGCACGCATGAAGATCAGCTGGCCGGCATGCATTTGCATGGACCAAAAACCAAAAGAACAGCTGGTGATGGGTTGCGTGCCTAGAGAGAGGACTCTGTGTACCACCTCTTGCACGAGTGCCATAGGTTTGCCATCACAGCATTACGCCACGGTTGCGCAGTAAAACCTTTTTGAGTGGGTTGCCCAACATGCTAAATTAGCCCAACAGAATTATGGTATGGCATGCAAGATGCAACTCCAAGATTCATATGTTTATTCCATCGTTGTGTTTGGAATGATGTCAGGAGTGAAACTGTCTTGCCCTCTTCTGAAGAGCCATTGCTGAAGTTGTACCCATCTTTTTCCCCCACCTGCTAGATCCAGACGTCCCTCAGCCAAACGGTGAGCATCCCTCCAAACCCTTCATGAGAACCCACAAACAGCTGAAGCGTTCCCGGGCAGCCTTCTCCCACAGCCAGGTCATTGAGCTCGAACGGAAGTTCAGCCACCAGAAATACCTCTCTGCTCCGGAGCGAGCCCACCTCGCCAAGAATCTGAAGCTCACCGAAACCCAAGTAAAGATCTGGTTCCAGAACAGAAGATACAAGACCAAGAGGAAACAACTGGCCTCTGAGCTTGGAGAACTTGAGAAGAACTCACCTCTCCCGGTCTTCAGAGAGAACAATTTCTCTAGGGCTACCTTAGCACTTTCTGTATACCACACCTATCAGTACAACCCCTATTTATGTTATCTGAACGGTTGGAGCCCAATCTTTTGGTAAATAATGCTGTCGGTGACCCAGGTCTCTCAGGGATTCGTTTGTCTTCATTCACCCCCCCCCCCAAACTCCCCACTAACTTTGCTACCATGAAATCGATTGCCCAGATAGACTTTGCAGTAGCGGTGGTATTCAAAAATTTTACCACCAGTTCTGTGGGCGTGGCTTGGTGGGCGTGGTGTGGCTTGGTGGGCGTGGCAGGTGGAAAATACTGTAAAATCTCCATTCCCTCCCGATCAGCTGGGATTCAGGAGGCAGAGAACAGATGGGAGTGGGTCCAATCAGAGGTGGTATTTACCAGTTCTCCGAACTACTCAAACTTTCTACTACTGAACTGGTCAGAACCTGCTGAATCTCTCTCTGCTTTGTAGAGAGATTTGGTCAACCTGTTTCCTCTGCCATTTCTAGAGTCGCTGCTGGGTCTCCTCACTAGCCACGCCAAGGGATTATCCAAAGAACAGTTACGAATGCAATATTGTGTGTCTCCCTGTTTTCTCAATGCTAGGCAATCACATACACTCATTAACATATGTAATGAAAGAACTATGGCATCCTGACCAATGCATCAAAACATGAAAGCCCAAAACAAGCACTTTCCAGAATAAGCTAATAACTCTTGGGGAGTAATAATAACAAAGGCATCAGGTTTCAGCCTTGGCTAGTTAGGCAGGCTCAGACGACACAGCATGTTTTATCAGTCTTTTTAAACCTGGAACCCCCCCACCCCTCCTTAAAATGCCATTGGGCATAGAGCAGGGGTGTCAAACTCGGTTCCACCACAAAACCGCGCTTGACTAAACCGCGTCTGACTAACCTGCGTAGCTGACGTCATCAACAGGGCGACAACAGCGCAGAGACAGAAGCACGCTGTAAACCCTAAGCCTAAAATTAACCCCTAAACCTAGACCTAACCCCACTAAACCTAATCCTAAACCTAACCCTTAACCTAACCCTAAACCTAACCCTAAACCTAACCCTTACCTTAAGTTGAATCGGCTTGCTTTTAAAGCGCTATTTAAAGCGCCCTTCTTTCTCCGCGCTAGCTGTTGTCGCCCGGTTGATGACATCAGCGACGCGGTTTAATCGGGCGTGGTTTTGACGGGTCACGGTCAAACCCGATTTCATTAAGGGCTGCATCAGGGTTGTGTTTGACCTTGGGGGGCCAGGGGGATTGGCCAGGGTAAGCATGGCCAGTTTGATGTCCATTTTTGGCTCTGACAGCTTCTTGCAGACATCTGCCAGTGAAAACAGAGCTCGGGCGGGGCATGTGAGCCCCCTCCCCAAGCTCCATTTTGGCTGGCAGAGGGCTGCAGGAGGCCATCGCAGCCGAAAACAAAGCTTGGGAGAGTCACAGGCGGCCCTCCCGAGCTCTGTTTTCGCTGCCAGAGGCACCCCGGGCCAGTCCTTCACTGTTTCCAGGGTGACTCTGCAGGCCAGTTCTGACCTGCGGACCTTGAGTTTGACACCCCCATCTGAAAGAGTAACATGATGGCAGAGAATGGGTTGGAAAACGCTGATGTGGTTCTCACATTGTAGTTCAGGTATAGGTATTTTCCAGGCTGTAGGCTTCCCATTGTGGCATCTGTTACAGTCCTCTGAGATCTCAAATTGGGCATCCCTGATTTCATCTATTGGATGAACGGTTATGATGTACAAGCCATGATAGGTAGTCTCTTGTAAAATGTGAATCTAGACAATCACGGTGTATTAAAAAAACTCTATGCACTAAACAATAGCTGGTTCAGCTTAAGGTGTGAATCATTATATATCTGAAACTTCATGAATTTGCTGCCGTAGTAGAAAATTTAGAGTTTCTTTGATTTGATGTAAGAAAAGCTTCCATTTTTGGGTCTTGATGCTTTATAATTTAAATTAGTTTAGATGTTGGTAGCTTCTAAACAGCTTCTCCTAACATGGATAATTCCAATGGGGTGATTGGCTGAAATGAGCCTGGGAAAGATTTAGGGGGTTATTTGAAACAGCCACTCTCATGCCTGTCAAAGGTAGAATGAGCCACGGTGGAGCAGTGGTTAGAAAGCAGTACTGCAGGTTACTTCTGCTGACTGCCAGCTGACTGCAATTTGGCAGTTCAAATCTCACCAGGCTCAAGGTTGACTCAGCCTTCCATCCTNTCTCACTGTCAGAAAATTTCTTCCTATTTCCAGGTTGAATCTCTTCTTGATCAGTTTCCACCCATTATTCCTGATTAGCCCAAAAGAAGCTTCAAATCTGTAGGAATTGATTTGGAAATTCCACCCTGAACTCCAGGCAGGAGTTCAGGGTGGAATTTCTCTCAGCCCAGGGAGACCCAGGATAAGAACTGCCCAACAGAACCGAAGAATACCCACCCAGCTCAACGGGACTGACCCCTGAGCAGAGGGCAACCTCCTCAAGACTTCTATCACTGGATAGGTGTAACCAGACCTCCCACCGTCCCAGTCCATCGCGATCTTGAAGTCCCACGCAACTGGAGGACGCCCATTTGGAGAAGGCTGGAGTAGGCGCCGGAGAGGTCGGAGTGCGCTTCCCTTTCAGTCCGAAGGCAAGCGCGCACCTGAACGTCTCCAGGGCATTGACTACAAATACTACTACTACCGGTAGTAGCGCTGTCTCCAGGACCATTCCTTACAGAGCATCTCGCGCAAGAAAAGAAGGAGGGAGGGAGAGACGCGCTGGCCCGAAGTGCACGGCGGAGGTCATCGGGGGGGCCCGGCTTGTTGGGTGGAGAAGCCCACGAGGCGTATCTCGGGCCCGAAGCTACCAATCCCCAGCCAGGAGGGCTCGCCGCCCCTCCGCCCAGCTACATAAGCGACCCTCCCGACGCGCGGGAGGAGGGGGGAAGCTCCGCGGAACGAGCTTGCCAAACTTTGCGCGGAGCGCAAAAGCGGCGCCCCTTTCCGCGCGCAGCCAGGCTGATGCAGAACGCCCAGCAGCGTCTTTCCCCCAGCGCTGGCCCGCCGCGGCTGCCTCTGCCCACAGATGGGGGCGGCGGGCCCGTGGTGGGGCCCCCTCCCAAGCCGTTGACTTCGTTCCTCATCCAGGACATCCTGCGCAAGAGCGATGCGGGGAAGGTTTCCAGCGCGGAGCCCAAGGCAGGAAAGATATCGCGCCCGCATCGCCCCGACGGCCCCAGCGATCTCCTCCCTCTCGGAGCTCCCCGAGTCTCCGACACGGATGCAACAGGTAAGATGAACTCCGTGGTTCCTGCAAAGGGTTCTCACGACATCCTGAACACGAATCTTCCACTCTGGAACCCTGCCTCTGCTTCCCCCGCGGACGGTTAAATGGTTGCCAAAAAAGAAAAAGGGAAAAGGGACGGGGACGAAGCCTGAGAGCATCTTTTCCGACTAATCCAGGGGTATCCAAACTTGGGAACTTTAAGACTCTGGGAGTTGAAGTTCACAAGTCTTAAAGTTCCCAAGTTTGGACGCCCCTGGATTAGTCCTTCTGACCAAAATGTAACACCTGTTATGCCTTCTGATTTTCTTGTCGTCCTGTTCCAACACAAGCCTCCTTCTACATTATCTCAGAACCTACTGTGTTGGGAGTGGGGGGCAAAAAAAAAAACGTAAACAGGCACTTAGTATGAAATTCAAAGAACCTGAATACCCAAAACTTAGTGTCTCAAAGTGGCTTCTATTTTATGTAGAACATCAGATAATAGAATAACAGTTGGAAGGGACCTTGGAGATCCTCTGGTCCAACCTCCACTTCAATAGGACACCTTGCCCTAAACTATTTCAGAGAAATGGTTCTCCAATCTCTTCTTAAAAACTTCCAGTGTTGGAGCACCCACAACTTCTGGAGGCAAGTCATTCCATTGATTAATTGCTCTCTGTCAGGAAATCTCTCCTTATTTTTAGGTTGGTCCTCTCCATGATTTGTTTCCATCTATGGCTTCATGTCCTGCCCTCAGGTGCTTTGGAGAATAACTTGACCCCCTCTTCTTTGTGGCAGCCCCTGAGATATCAGAACACTGCTATCATGTCACCCCTAGTCTTTTTTTTTCTTCAAATTACTCTCTTCCTGAAAGACTTTAAAACCCGGAATTTGTAAATACCTTATTTTTCTGAATATAATACAATAGAATAGAATACAATAGCAGAGTTGGAAGGGACCTTGGAGGTCTTCTAGTCCAACCCCCTGCCTAGGCAGGAAACCTTATACAGTTTCAGACAAATGGCTATGCAACATCTTAAAGACTTCCAGTGTTGGGGCATTCACAACTGGA